GATACCATGAATTCTTCTTCACTTAAAAAATATCTTTTGACAGCATTTACTGCTCAATGATGTTAGATTTATATCTTAGTGGTAAAAATTACCATTTAATTCTAATTTCATAATCATCACACTTTTTAAAATACCGAACACATATTTGTTCAGTGCCTCCTTTGTCTTTCCTTTCTCATGTCTGGCTCTTATTATAGAGTGGACTATTCCTATAGTCATTTTTATTTTAATGAAGTATAAAGTTAGAGAAGATTTTTTGTCAGCTGTTTGAAACTCTTGGGTGTCTCTTTTCTTCCTTTACTCTAAGGTTTAACTATTACTGTTTTTCTAAAAGAAAGCTAACCAAGCTAACCATAAATCAGTTAAAATACAACTCATTAAAATATCATCCTCAAAGTAAACATCCCTATTTTGGATCTTTTGTTCCTCAATAAATTAGAAGATAGTAGCTTAATGTACCTTTACAAACAACATTTCAGAACAGATTGTACTCTAGAGGCCAATTTTCTTTCCTTATTTTGACAAAAACCTGGTCTTTACACAACTTAATTGTTTTTATTGCATCTGGAATCATTTTAAGTTACCATGAAACATTAATAACTCCAATTTTTAAAAAAGCGTTTAAGGCAGGCACAGTGGCTCACTCCTATAATCACCATGGGAGGCTGAGGCAGGAGGATTGCTTGAGGCCAGGGGTTCAAGACCAGCCTGGGCCACATATTGACCCTATCTCTACAAAAAAAAATTTTTAAAAACTTTAAAATCACAAAATTAAAAAAGAATAGAGTTTAGCACAATTTTTGTGTGTGTCTCCTTTATTTACATAGGCTTTAATTGATAAACAACTGTAGATTATAAGATAGTAAAAAGTGAGAACAATCTATGATAACATAAATGTCAACAATTAGCTGAACATTGTAATTCCTCAAGCATTACTGGTAAATCTTATATACTGGAAAGTCATAATTTTTTTGTTTGTTTGTTTTTTGAGATAGAGTCTCACTCTGATGCCCAGGCTAGAGTGCTGTGATATCAGCCTCGCTCACAGCAACCTCAAACTCCTGGGCTCAAACAATCCTCCTGCCCTAGCCTCCCGAGTAGCTGGGACTATAGGCATGTGCCACCATCATGCCCAGCTAATTTTTTTTCTATATATTTTTTGTTGACCAATTAATTTCTTTGTATCATTAATAGAGATGGGGTCTTGCTCTTGCTCAGGCTGGTTTTGAACTCCTAACCTTGAGTGATCCTCCCGCCTTGGCCTCCCAAAGTGCTAGGATTACAGGTGTGAGCCACTGTGACCGGCCGAAAGTCATTTCTTTATTAAATCTTTTGCTAAGGAAATGTAACTAAGATGTGCTTTAACTTTTCTTCTCCCTAGTATTGTTGAAATTGTTGACACTGAACTTTTATTAGCTTATACTTCATAGCTGTTTTTGGAAAGAACAAGTCATAATAGAGTTGGAAATGTAGCAAATAAAATATTCCTTTAGGATCATTGCTTATTTGTGTGGATAATTAATATCTTTGATCCAAGATGTTCATAAATACAGAGTATTTTAATCAAATACTCTCTGAAAAAGAAACATTATATTGTCATATGCTACTTGCAACAACACCAGTCACTTATCCCGTACTAAGCTAAGTTGAAGTTTATAAACTAAAACTAAACTAAGTTTATGTTTATAGGATATCTTGGAAATCAAGCTTTTTTCTTATTATGCTAAGTACTATGCACAGAATAGTCAATTGTTTTCTACTCTTACATAATCAGGGTAACTTACCATAATGTAAGCCAACCAATTTTTTAAGCTCAATATTATTTTACATATTTTATTAGTCTTCTTTGATGTACAAGACAAAAGAATCAATGTGAATAAAATAATAAAACCACTCTTATCCTATAAACTTCTCTTTCTCACAAACTACTCTACCGCAAGCCGTATTTCCCATTTGCATTTATCCTCATTTTAGTCTCTTTTGGAAATCGTCTGATTTGTGCTTATTCCCTGAAACCTATGGTTTTTATTTCTAGCACAAAAGTGTTTTGATAACTTTGGACAAGTTTTATGCTATCAGAATTCGAATGTTATAGAGCTATTTCACTTTCTTTTTAAAAATAGAATTTCATCTTGAATTTACTGTTCTTAGCCTGCTATGAAGCACGATAATTATTAAGGTAACAACTGAATTTCCTTTCTACTGACAATGATGCGAGAGTTCCTTTTTCCTTTTTGGTGCTGGTAGGTGTCATGTTGTTGCCCATTAAATATGTGAGAGCTGAGGTGCGAAATTCATTATATTGCTATAAAAATCTGTGTGAACTTATCTTTTTTCCTTGCTCACCCACCCCCTTTCTCTATTGCTAGAATATTAACAGTGAATATAAGCCAGATTAATTAAACTTTGTTCTTGATTTCTTTGAAACTCTAAAAATTAATTTGTTAGCAAAAAAATAACAATGTTCTACAATAACTTTAGAAGACCCTTAAGTACAAAAAAATGACTATATATCATTATGTTACATAAGAAATATTTTATTCATACTAACAGTTAATAAACACCAATAAACTGTCGCAATGTGTTTTCACTTTTCTTATCCCCCAGAGCTTTATTTTTAGACACAGTTTAATTTGACTTTTAGCAAAGATAAACAAATAATATTGGATTCTCTGTAAAGTGTAGGGCTAGGGCCATAGGAAACAGTAGACTATGGGGACAGCCACCAGGCCCAAGAGAGCTAGGATCGTGGGGGTGGGAGCTTGGATAGGGATCAGGAAGGGCAATGGGCCAGAACTCCCAAGAATTAACGAAAGAAACCAATCACCGCTTGGTCAAGTTAAGCCTTTCAAGCTAGATGCAAATAAGGCAGGTAGTCTAGAAATTGTAAATGTCACTAATTGTATTGCCAGCATGCCTGTTCAAGACGTGGTAAATGAGGACTCTGATATAGAAGTTACACTATGATGATAAGTCTAAATTCAGTTCATTTGGAGTCTATTATGGACTTAAACCATCAACTCCTCAATCCCTTCATTATTCAACCCCAAGTATACATTCTCAACATGACTGTACTTTCCAATACAGGCTTATAGGGGAATAAGGACCATTCCTTACCTCTAAGAGAATTGGCCTTAATCTAATCCAACATTAACTAGAGTGAGTTTCAGATTCTCTGTTTAAAAAAAACAGTTCCATGATCCAATAAATTTGGAAGTCCATATAGTATATACTGTACTGTAGTTACAATGTTGATTTTTTACCTTTTAGTATTTTTTGTTTATTTCATTGATTCAACAGACATTTATTAAATTCCTCCTGTGAGCCAGGCTTCTACTAGATGCTAGGAACAGAATGAGGGAAATGTAGATATGTTCTGTACTCTTAGAGCTGACAGTAGATATAGAAAGATAGATATTTAAAAATGTAATGTTAATGTAGTGTGATAGGGGATATCAGGGTCTCAAAGGGAACACAAAGCAGGGGCACCTAACCTGGTGTACAAAGTGTCAAAGAAGGGATTTCCAGGAAATACCATTTATGCTAAAAACCTGAAGATCAAGTAGCAATAAGACAGGCAGGGAATTTTCAGTCACAGCAGCAATATTAATAACATCTAAAGCTCACATGTAATTACACTCCTGCTCTCTGCCAGATACTATGCTAGATACTTTCCAAGAGTTCTTGGGTGGGCTTTATTACGTACCAAAATCCTATGGCTGATAAGGGGCAAGAATTAGAATTTAAATCCTAATTGATCTGACTCCAAAGTCCTCAATTCTACTACCCCACAACTGCCTCTCAAAGCAGTTAACTGATTTTGATTATATTTGTTTTGCTAAAACAACAAAAAAATGATTTGAGTGATATCTTAAATTTGCTTTTTTATTATCATGTGATATTTATTTTTTTAAAAAAATAGATAAACATTTTATAATTTTAATAGTTTATAGTAAAATTTGGCATTTGGGTATATGGTTCACAAGTATATTATAGTACCAAGGTCTGAAGTTCACTTTCCAAGTAGAGTCTTATACATAGTAGATACTCAAAACAACACAATTGGCAGCTTTGCATTTTACTTTGAATAAGTGGTAGCATAGTTTGAAGAGACAACTTTGAACTCTTCTAAAGGTGATACCCACATTTTAAAAGTAGTTCTAAGTCTCTGTGTGACATAGTCAAGCTGGACATAAGATTTTTCAGTTTTAAGATAGAATATGTGCAGAAGGTAAAGATATAAAATTGGTCTCTTAAAAATGTCTGACTCTACCTATCACCTGTAGCTTCTGTACATTTTTGGCAAGAATATCTACAGGCGATGTGAACTCCATATCTCATCATGTAAGGAGGGTTATAATATCAGGATACCTCATTATTGCTAGTTTTGAAAATCCTGATCTAGAGAAGGGTCAAGTAAATAGTAAAAGGTAGGTTTAAGAAAATAAAATGGATTACCCTAATCTCAGCAGAAATGTTCAAAATTCCATGAACTGACTCCTCGGTATTCTTGGAGTAGGGTAAGGTAGTCTGGCTTTGGCACCTAACGATGGCAGATTGGGCCCGAACATTTAGTTCATAGACTTGCTTTAATTGGTCATATCAGCATGCCAGTCATTACCAAGATTGCCATCAAAATTATTTTTAAATAACATAAACATTATATAAATATGTATTTTTAATTTCTCCTTTTCACTCTTAGGAGGTGATTTTAAGGTGTGGAATGGTCACAAGGGAAATTACCAGAAAAAAGAGAGAAATAAAGAACCTAGAGAATCCATAAACCTGGATTAACTCCCAAGCCCTTGTAATTTATATCGTATTAAATCTACAAAATACTGTTGCTGAAAGGAATTTCACTTGCTGTTTTTATTTTTCTTGAGAAAAGCAGGATGATGAACAAAAATCTTTTTAAAAATGCTTTTGTGTTGTTTTTTTATTCATACTCAAACATCAGTTTATTTTCTTACTAATTATAAAATCTGTTCTTTTAACTTTAGGGACACCACAGTACAAACTCTTACTCTTCAGCCTTCAGTTAAAGATGGACTTATTGTGTATGAAGACTCACCTTTGGTTAGTAATCCAATTATATGAATATATTCAAGTGTGTTTTTTGAATGATGGTTGTATTTTAGCCTTTGGGAATGGAGGGGGAAGTCTTTCATGGATTCTAATATATTTCAGTTTAACTGGAAAGCACTTATTCATGAGTCATTTCAGGAGTAGATATTTAAATGTAAATTATTGGGAAAATTACGCGTTAGCTTATGCTGTTCTCTCTTCAGAGTAAGAGGTTTAGGGAATGACAGAAATCCTCTATTGATTTCTTTTCTATTCCAGAATTAAAAAAAAAAAAAGTTTGCTGCTGTTTTTAAATGTGTAGAGTTTGAAATTAGGTAATGTTTCTAGAAAAGTTTTTAAAAATACCTCTAACTAATAAAATATTAGGGTATTTTGGGCAGCTGGGAAGATCCAGTGCTCAGCTTCCCACACAAAACCCAAAGCCTGCCAGGCACGTCCCTCTGTGCAGATGATTCCTTTGCAGCAGTGGCAGGGATAGGCCATCATGGGAACCTCTGTGATGCAGACCCTGGGGACTGGAGTCTTCAAGGTCTCTGCCCCAATTCTCCTAGGTTGGGCCTGGCTTTCCCTGAATAAAGATGGGGTTGGGGATGGAAGCTACATGTTTTCTTTTTTAAAGTTCAGTTTATTTTTACTCTAAAAAAAAAACCAAAATTCTTATCAGTTCTTTTATAATAGAATATGGTATAAAATAATTGTGGTAGAAGTAACACCCGTTTCTCAAACTGTGTTTTCTTAAAATGATTTGCCAAACTACACAATCAGAAAAATTTTATGACATGGTACACTTTATGTTTTACTTCTTATTATTAAAAAAATCTTTAGGTTTACATTTAAATTTATTGAGTATCTTCTTTTATCTACTCCTCAAAAATATTTTTAAGAGTTCTTCCTAGTTTTATCTTTCTTTTCATGATGTTACCATCTATTCCGGACCGATCTTGGCTGCTTAATCACAAGCATCCTCATCATTTCACCCAGCTGGTTGCCGTAGACATCTGCAGTAACCAGGTTTCATGAAGCAGTAGTGGATAATATCAGGGTTGGACCACCAAACAAACACCATTAGCTTTTTTGGATGAATATTCAGTTTTGGACTGTTCTGACACTTCATCTTTATTCGACCATTGTGCCAAACACAATTGTCAAAAATAATCCATTTTTCATCACATATAACAATACGGTGTAGAAATAGTTTGCCTTTATGTCATGACAGCAAAGAAAGGCAAGCTTCAAGACGATTTCACTTCTGATACACATTGACCTCCTGTGGTACACATCTAACCAGCTTCTTTATCTTGCCGATTTGTTTCAAATGGTCCAGTGTTGTTGGAATAGTAACATCAAACCCTTGCTGCTAATTAATTCACACATAGGTTGAGATGGATTTGCTTCCACTACAGCTCTCAGCTCATCTTTATCCTCCTTGGTCTCAGGTCGCCCACATGGCTCATTTTCAAGATTAAAATGACCAGAATGGAACTTCTCAAACCATCCACATACTGTGCGTTCATTAGCCACATCCTTCCCAAACACTTATTTGATATTTCAAGCCGTCTACGCTGCATTGGTCCCATGACAGAACTCATATTAGAAAATAACTTTAATTTTTGACTTATCTATGGTTTTACAAAAATTGATCTAAAAATTTTTTTGAAAGATAATCACAAGCCAAACTGTGCATTTAAAAGAATGAAGATGTACCTTCACAATAAAGATAAAACAAGAAGTGCCAAAGGTGAAATGTCAGCGATATCAACTATCACACTCAGTACTTCAGGAAATCGGACATTTCATACTTAATAACCTAATATATTACTAAAGTGAAATACAAAGATTGTTGTAGAGTTGGCAGTTTAGTAACTCTGTGAAGCTTTTGATGCAGATCCAAAAATTTTCTTTCTAGCTCTACTACAGACTTTTTTTGTGTTTGTGATAGTATACTCAAAACTTAAATAAAACCAGCTGTTATAAATCCAAAGCAGTAAGTAATGAAGTTTTAATAATGCTTGCTTTCATTTTATTATTTATGATAAATTTTATGTCTTAAAAGGTTAAAGCAGTAAAGTTGGGTCATGTTCTGGTAGTAGATGAAGCAGATAAAGCCCCAACAAATGTCACCTGTATTTTAAAAACTCTAGTAGAAAATGGAGAAATGATTCTAGCAGATGGAAGACGCATTGTTGCAAGTGAGTACAAAATAAGTGCTATTTCCTTATATATGTGCAATTTTTACATCTCTGTTATCAAGTCACAAACTTATCTTGCTACTTCTTTATAGGCAATAAGCATAATTTCAATATAACTTAAATTGTCTATATTGGCAATCATTTATAAAAATTAATACATCCAAATCTACCTTTGTCAGTTTTATAACCAGAGAGCATCTTTGAAAATTTTAGTAGTAGTGTTAGGACAAATCAGCTTCATATTTTTCTGCTTCAAGAATTCTAACATAGAATCCTTACACTCACCTCTCAATTATTTGTGTGTGATTTGCTTTTTTTCATTGTTATCTGGAATTTTTAAAAATTCTGTCATGTTTCTATTCAAAATATGAAAACTTATTAGCACAATTAAAAAATGCTTGACATTTTATTTTATATATATACTTATATATGTGTGTGAATTTGTGTACGTGTGTATATTACACACATCTCTACCTCAGGAAGAAGTTATTCTCTGTTTTAGATTGTCTTCTTTCCCTTCACTTCACCACATACCCTTTTTGTTGTTGTTAGGAAAAAATGAAGAACAGAGAAATTTCATCAATATATTTAACCTATAAGGAAAAATTAAGCTCGTCTAATGCAATATGATAACATTTGCTAATTTCTAATTTCAAATTCTGTGTCCTGAAAAAACTTGAAAAATCTATAACTAGCCGTTGAAAATATACAGCCAATAGCAAGGTAACCAAAAAAGTTGAGACTAAAAACTAACATCTTCAATATTTGAAGAGAGCATGTAAGGAAGACCCCATTAAAAAGGTACAAGTATATCACCACAGAGATGTTCTTCTTGGACATTATCATTACAGAATTGCCATTTCTGAGCATAAACTCAGCACTAATAAAAATATTTTAATATTTGAGTTTCACAGTGAATTTATGAGAAAAGGAAAATTCCAGCAAGCCTGAGTACTTTCTCTTAAAAAAGGTCATTCAGACTCTCAGAAGTAGAATTCTGCATGCCCTTTTTAGAGGCATTATGAGGACAGTGAAATGGAAAGGAAGAAAGAATTGCCAAAACAAAATTGTAGTTAAGGAGTAATTATCTCCTGGTAACCTTTTATATTTTCTGATATGTTTTTGAGGAATAGCCATCATAATTTTTAAACTCAAGTGTGATTGTAAATGACATTTTAAAAAGAGTACTTGAAGCTTTTATGAACATAGTTTCATAAATCATCACTTGTAGGGCTGTTTTTCAATTTCTTGGCTTTTTAAAATTTTCATTTTTATTGTCATTTTGTTTCAATTAACTAATTAAATTTTGCCTGCAGCCACATACCCTTGTTATTTGCCACTACTAAAATTAGTGAGGATCAAAACTATTGGTTGTATTAGCACATAAATATGTGGCACATTAAAAGATAACATTTTGGTAAAATAAAAAATTATGAGTGTAGATTCTCACAAACTCATCTCAAATAAAACTGCAGGTACTTCACAACTCTCCTGTTTTGAAGATGGGCAACCTAAGCCTGAAGTTTAAATATAATAAATCCAGGTTGGTCCAAGTGTAGTTGTGTTTACAACTAATTGATCACAACCGGTTACAGATTCCTTTGTTCCTTCTCCACTCCCACTGCTTCACTTAACCAGCCTTTAAAAAAAAAAAATTAAAACAGTAAAAAATTATATAAACATAATAAATCCAGATAGCAAGTGGTTTTTCTTAACATAACCATAATAAAACTTATTCTTTCAAATTATTTTCTGGACTTGAGTTCCATCTGAAATGTACACCAGCCAGTAAACTGTAATATTCAGTTCTTTTAATACCTTAAACATTTGCACAAACAAAGCTCAAGTCAACTTGAGATCACTTATTTTAAGAACTGTGGTTGAATCCCCTGATTGGAAAAAAGCAACACTGTACTGATGAGTTGATAGGTTTTCAAGACCTTTATTCTATGTATTTAGGTTGCAGAGTGCATGATCTAAATAGAAATAAATAGTGCCTTGGCTGCACAATGGCGGGCTGTATGCAGATGGATGCAGCTACTGATTTGGTAAAAACTAAGGATCCTTGGATTATCCCTTGTTATAGATGTTTATCTGTTTTATTTTTTTAAGGAATAATAACATCTCAAGCCAGGCTTAAGTATCATAGGACAACATTTGGGCACATTTGCTTCTAAGATGTATGTTAAATTTACATAAAGTTTTATCAATCTTGTTTTTGAACAAACTTTCTTAGAAAAGAATTTTTTTTTCCTGCCACCAAGTTATCACCACCGGATACCTTAACACTTTCTCTAAATGAACAGTATGACTACTTATGTGACTTTAAAGGCTGTAACCTTGGCTGTCTGAATCGATGTGAAAGAAAAAAAAAATAAATAAAAAAAAAAATAAAGGCTGTAACTTGATATATTATTAAATGTCAACAAAGAATAAATAGAAATTTTGTTTTTCAGATTCTACTAATGTGAATGGAAGAGAAAATGTTGTAGTGATTCATCCCGATTTTAGGATGATTGTTCTGGCCAACAGACCTGGATTTCCTTTCCTAGGCAATGATTTCTTCGGTACCCTAGGTAAAAAAAAAAAAAAAAAAAAAGATAAGAATAACAGAAATAGTAATATTAGTAACAATACTGCAATGGCTGTCATTGAATGCTTACTTACCATGTGCTGTTGCCAGCATCATAATCACCTTGGGAGAGTATTTACCCCCATTTTAGAGACAGATAATATCTGATATTCAGAGAGATTTTTTGGTGGTCACTGAGCTAATGAGTGATGGAGCTGGGCTTCTGTTTAAGTCTATCTGATTCCAGAGCCTTTTTCCTGGAGGGATATATATACATGTACATGCTTGTACATGCATAGAATTTCTCCAGAAGAGGACACAAGAAACTGGTAAAAGTGGTTGTTTGTAGTGGAGGTCAGGGATGGGGGTATAATATATTCATTTCTACTATCTTTACAATTTTTACTATGTACAGCTATTACTTTAAAAGTTATTAACAATTCATGTATTAGTGTAGTAATGTGAACATACCAAACTAAAGCTGGAATTGTTTCTTATGTAAGAGGTTGGAGTTATTTTTATGTTTAGGATCTTTATAGGTCACCCCTTATCCCCCAAGTCACCTCTCATCACGTTTATTTAATTGCCTATAAGAATACATACTCCTGTTCTGTCTCCATCTTCCATCCACCCCCAAATCCTGAAACCTGTACTGTCTGTTAAAGCTCTGCTGAAGTTCTGGCCCTCGCCCTAACCCCCTCCTCCCACTGAAGGCCTTTCAAGCAGCAGAGTTTTTTTCTCCCACATTTGTGTCTAGAGAAAGTGTAGAGTCTTTGCTCCTTATTGCTGCTCCCGTCATTCTCCTTCCCTCTTCCCTAAACCCCCCAGCTTTATATCTCATGTCATCAGATTGTATCATGTACAGCCACTCATTGTGGCTGTCATCTACCCCTAGTTGTTCCTCGTCATTTCTTGGTGATTTAGCTCTTTGTTTGCTGTCAGTGTCTCTAACCCTACTTACCCTAGTCCTCTTGGAATGGTTGCAGTGTCCACATGTGTGACCCTTCCAACTCTCTGGCCTCTTGGCTCCTCGGATGTTTTATTCCAGTGGCCTTATCCTGCACCATACCTCAGCCACTCACTCCCATGGACATAGCCTGGTTTCAGTACCAGAAACTTTTATTCTAAATCTCAGTTGCATGGTTCTGTTCTCATATGTCCTTGAGATTTTCATCTCATCCATGTACCTACCACCTCCAGTCTTTCAAACTATCCTCTCTAGTATCCTAAATCCAACCATCCTTCAAACCTATTGGAAGTTCCAATCCATTGATGCTATCACCTTTCACTTACCTCCCCCTTGATATATTTTCTTCTCCCTTATTCAGGTTTTTTTTTTCTTATCTACCTTTGATACCATAATCATTCACATTTATTACTCCCTGGCGTATGTCTTCAGCTTTCCTGTCCCTCCCTCAGCTTGTCCTATACATCTGGGACCATTCAGCCTGGTTAATGCCAATTCTCTGACTACATTGAGCTTACACATTTGCAGCTGAATGTGGTTAGAACAAGCACAAAACTTCTCTAACAGTCGCAATCACTTCCCATCACTAACTAGCATCCAGTTTACTGATTCTTCTTACAGACTTCTGTTATTTTTTCCTGGCTTCCTACTGCACTTAGAAAAATGGAAGCAATTATAAATGAATGTCCACAGACTCCCGCCAGCAAGTCTTCCACCTACGTTGCTCTGCTTTCCCACATGTTACAGGCAAACTGTTCACACTCCCAACTGCGGCCAGTCCCTCCAGTTGAGCACCAGATCCTACTTTCTCAAGGATGCTACTGTGGCAATTCTGCCCTCCCTTTCTTATATCAGCAATTTCCTTCTCTGGTAGCTTATTCCCATCAGCAGACAATCAAGCTATTTCCTTTGTCTTAAAAAAATAAAATAAAAACAGAGAAACCACATAAAAACTCTTAATTGGACCTGTTTTGCTAACCACTGCTAAATTTTTCTGTTCTTTGTGGCAAAACCCTTCACAACAATTGTTCATACTCAAGAGTTGTCTGTACTTACTATCTCCATTTCTTCACTATTCTCTCTTAAATCCATTCTAATCAGATATTTCCTCCCAGCACTCCATGGAAACAGTTCTTGTCTAGATTGTCCATGGTTTTTCCATTGCTAAATCCAAAGGTCAATTCACAGTCTTCTTCTCGCTTAATCTATCAGCAGTATTTAATACAGTTGGTCCAGTTGATCATGCTCTTCTCCTTGATACATTCTCTTTTATTTGACTTCAAGTATTCCTTCAAGTACTTTCTTGGTTTCTTTCCTACCTTAATGACCACTACTTCACAGTCTCTATTCTCTCTATTGGATCCTTATTAGAATGCCACAGGGCTCAGGCCCTGGTCCTTTTTTTACCTGTCTATACTCACTCCCTTAGTAAAATTATAATGTTTCATGTTTTAGAATACCACTTATATGACTTTTATTGCCAAATGTTTGTCTCCAGCCCAGACCTCCTTCCTGAACTCCATGATTATAAATCCAACTGCCTGTTTTATAGCTCCTATATCTCAAATTTAATACATCCACAATGAATTTATTCTTCCTCCTAAAACTGATTAACTTATAGTCTTTTTTTTTTTTTTAAATCTCTATTGATGACAACTCTATTCTTCTCAAGCCAAAGTTCATTCTTGACTTCTGTCTTTCCCCTGCACTCCAATCCATCTATCAGGAATTCTTACAGGCTCAAAATATATTCAGTATTATCCTACTTTCCATCACTTCCATTTGTCACCATTCTAATCTGAGCCACCATTGTCTCTCACCTGGGTTACTCCTAGTAGTCCCCTAATGGGTCATGAACTTTGAAGGATTGTAGATTTTAGCCTACTTTGAAGCTAACCAGGTGTAAACTACCACAGTCTCATAGCAGAAGACAAATGAGGGATTATTTCTCACAGCAAAAGCAGGAGTCAGAATGTCAGCATTTGTGTGGATTCTCAAGTCCCAGTTCCCATGGTACAACACATAGATGGCCAGGTGATTCTTCCAGTGTAGTGAGATGCTTCCCAGGAGAGGAACCCTGTGCTTAAGTAGCCCAAATCTTTTTTTTTTTTTTTTTTTTTTTTTTTTTGAGACAGGAGTTCTCGCTTGTTGCCAGGCTAGAGTGAGTGCCGTGGCGTCAGCCTAGCTCACAGCAACCTCAAACTCCTGGGCTCAAGGGATCCTCCTGCCTCAGCCTCCCAAGTAGCTGGGACTACAGGCATGTGCCACCATGCCCGGCTAATTTTGTTATATATTTAGTTGGCCCAATTAATTCTTTCTATTTATAGTAGAGACGGGGTCTCGCTCTTGCTCAGGCTGGTTTCGAATCCTGACCTGAGCAATCCGCCCGCCTCGGCCTCCCAGAGAGCTAGGATTACAGGCGTGAGCCACCGCGCCCGGCCCCAAATCTTATAATGATCAGTGAGCATGCCTTAATCTTGTTCCAGGGAGAAAAAGGGACGAGAGAATACAACAGGACAATCTCTATCTTCCAAGGCACTTTGCTCTACAACATCCTTGGAAAGATAGTCGAATGTGGTCATGGCTCTGCTCACAACAGATTTAGTCTTCCAACCACATTCTGCAGTCTGTTCGTCAACACAGCAGGTCCAATCCTCGTTAAAAATCCTCCCATGCTTCCCTTTTTACTCTGAGCGATAAGCACAAGTATTTTCCAACAGTTTACAATGTCCCATATGATTTGTCTCCCTCGCTCTCTGACTTCGTGTCCTATACTGCTCTGTGTATCACTGATTCTATTGCAGCCACTCTGCTCTCCTGCCTTTCCTCCCCATGCCAGCTATGCTTGCCTTAATTTAGGGGTGTTTGCGTTAGCTGTACCCACTGCCTAGAATTCTCTCCTCCCCGGTATCTACATTCACTTAACTCCCAGGTATTGTTACCTTCGCAGTGAGGCCTGCCTGACTCATCTCCCGCCACCCCTTCCCCACGTCATCATTTCTACTATCCTATACCATGTTTCTTGTTCTTCTTTCTTTGAAACATACCTTTCTAATATTTATATTTATCATTTGTTACCTCCCTATGCAGAATATAAACTCCCTGAGGATAAGGATTTTGGTTTTTTTGTCAGTTGATATATATAGACAACTACGCTACTGGGGCAAGTACTATGCACTCGTGGTGCATGGGAAAGACATTATAATATATTGATGAATGAAACAAATGAAGGGTCAATTAACTATTTTTAAAATGTTTTATTTTAGCATATTGGGGGTACAGGTGTTAAGGTTACTTATATTGGCCCATGCCCCTCTCCCAGTTAACTTTTATATATTAGTTTAAATTTCATTTTCAGCAAAAAAAGCAAAAAGCTTTTCTTCACATTTGTTATTGAAAAGCTATGTGTCTAGGAAATGAAAGTCTTTTATTATGGCTTCTTCATTTATTCAGTTACTTTTAAATATACATCAAAACATACAACACATCAACAACTGTTTGTTTAATAATGTGCTTCGTAAACCAAAGTAAGATTCTTGTTGCTACTTGACTACACGTCGCTCTTTTCTAAAATGAGCATATTAAATAAGTAAGTCTATTTACTTTGCATTCCTTCGAAAGTAAATTAGATTAGAATGTATTGGTCTTTAGATTATGAATCAATAGCATTATAGAATCATGCAGGACTTATACTTTTAACATGGAAATTCATTCCTTTTGGATGCATTGATTGTTTTCTGAGGAGTTTGCACCAGGAGGATTATTAAACGCTATCCTTATTCTACCAGGGAATTTGTCACATAGTACAACATTTCACAGGTTATGGCACACCGACTGTGCATGACATCTAGAAGAAACATCAATCTCTTTAGTCTTTAATTTCTTTAATTTATTATAATGATCAGTATTGTATATGAAGTCATTTGTAATCTGTTATTTATCTGTGTATTCATCCAGGTTGCGTGATTACAGATGAATATTATGTTTACCATCCATTCCTTTCTTGATTTTTATTTGTACAGTATCTCTACAGGTTT